ACACACACACACACACACAAGCACACAAATCACCTTTAAAAAACCCAACAACGTTCCTTAAATAGTTTTTTTCTTAATTAAATAATCAAACAAATCCAAAGAAAATAAACCCAATTTGAATAGGTCATTCACACATTTCTAAATTTCTAGACGAACGAACGACTTCAGAACGCTCCTTGGAAATTAACTGGTTAAAAAAAGAGCGCTTGCGCACTTTGTTTTTAAGAACAAGTTCATATCTACAGGAATTGCAAGACAACAGAAGACCAAACAGTTTGGTCGATTGTCCGAAATCAAATCTGTGACCAAGGCTCCTCCCCCCCTCAACTCTTGTTCTCAGTACTCATGTTGTTACAAATATAAAACAGTGAAAATGAGTTCACCTGAAATGAACAACGCGGACCCATTGCTTTTTAGAAAACGACATCCCCCCCTCACCCCCCACCCACTCCAAAGAGTAGCACATCTACACTATAATGGTATTACAATTTTAACGCCCTCAGTGTGGTATTACTAGTCACTATCTGAATATATTGAGAGAAAATAAATGTCATAGAAGGATATAAGTCCGTGTAACTTTTCGAAAAAGCCAATAGAACGAACGGTGCTCAATACATGGACGCTTATAATTTGATTGATCTGTCGTTAATGTTTTAAAGCGACCCAGTTTGATCATTTACGACCAGCGCTGCTTCCACACCGCCTGCCTGGGCCAATCCGATCTGGGCGGGATACAGAATCAAAGGAAGGAAGAGGTATTTCACACAAACTCGACTTTTTTTTGGGGGGGGGAAGTGTTTTACGAATATTCTTTACTATCCAGCATCAAGTCGTTCCAAACTAAATTCTTCACTCAGGAAAAAAAACCCACAGTCGTTCACAAATTATTTTAGTAGTTTTTCTTATTGCTGACCTCTTATTTTAAACTTTTAAGGAGGCTAAAAAAGCACAAACAAAAACAAAACAAAACAAAACAAAACAAAACACCTTGCTGGGTCACTCACGTTGACAGCGGTTCATTATACGATACCATCTAATCAGTACTAGTGCTTTCAGCCATTGTGGAAATTGATTGATTTTCGGTCAACCAAGAGGATGTAGCCTGATTAACTCGGCCATGCAAAATGCAAATGCCAAACATTTACAAGGTAGCTAAGGTGAGTGTGCTGGCGAACGCGTTGACGAGAGCGTGTTTCTCTGTGTCTTGCATGAGCGTGAGCGCCCAAGTGTGTATTAGGCTTGTTATACCTTTTCAGATTAGAAAAATAAAGGCGGAGAATGAGAGGGAGAGAGAGAGAGAGAGAGAGAGAGAGAGAGAGAGAGAGAGAGAGA